CCTTGGATAAAGGGCGGGGCCTCAGAGAAGGGGCAGGACGTGGGTGTTTGGTTTTCTGCAATCAGAAAGTTGGCCACCCTAATCCTTCCCCATGGGGGTGGAGGGAAGAAACAGGGAATCAGGGCCAGCTCTAGGCTCCAGCATTCCAAGCATGTTCTTGGGGCAGCACTTTTCAAGGGGCAGCATCCCGGTTTTTGCTTCGGCGGCGGTACTCCGCCGCGCCCCCCCCCCTTTTTTTACTTTTGCTTGGGGTGGCAAAAAACCTGGAGCTGGCCCTGCAGGGAATGGCTTGTATAGTTGGTGTCAGAGCCACTTCCACTAGCTGTATGCTAGCAGAGAGTTCTCCTGCACAAACTGACTATGTCTGGTCACACTAACATAGGCTCCGACTCCGTGGGTGCTGCAAGGCTAGAGCACCCACGGGGAAAATTAGCAGGTTAATCCTCATTAGTTTGGTAACAATTAAAGCATGTTGACTTACAACTAAATATAACAACTTTATACTAAATTTGTGGCTTCTTTTTGCTAATCAGGAGACTCACTACATCTATACACATTTATTAAAGCAATTGATTTAAGCAGTTTAACTTTTTACTAGATGATTAATTTTTTACTTGTGTCTTGTATCAAGCTCTATAGGGTTGGAAATTCAAATCAATTAAAAATATACAAAAACAGCATTTTCATTTCTTTTATTAAATAAAACTATCTGAAATGTGTTGGATACATAAACTTTTTTCTCATCAAAACATGTTTTGCATTTCAAACAAACATTTATTAAACAAAAGGAAGCAATAATTGTATTTGAATTGAACTAATTGTTGTTTCTGGTCACCATGTCCTTCAAGATTTTAGAACTAGAAGATCTCATCCTCCTCTCACACATGTACTACTTAATATTATTTGTGTATTTAAATTAAATTAGTTTGATAGACATAAGTAGTTTAGGCCTTAACATAGATTGTCAATTTAAAATTAAATTTTAAATAGGCTTTTTTAAATTAACCTATATTTAAATTTAGATTTAAATAAAAAAATCTTTTTTAATTTTAAAAAAAACATTGATTTTTGGTCACTTGGTGTGGAACTCATTGCCACAAGGTGTAACTGAGGGTAAGAGTGTAGAGGGGTTCAGAAAAGGAGTAGTCATTTAACAGATAATATAAACATTCAGTTACATTAGGTAGAAAAATTATATAAAGAAAATATACTACCATGTTTCAAGGTGCAAATCAACCACTAACTAACTGGGGTAAGAGGAAATGTTCCTTTTTCAATTCTGTATTTCTTTTTCATTAAGAAGTTCCTTTAATAAATCTTTTCCACGTTACATTTTATTTACTGACCTATTGTACATCCTTATTCACTTCTTTTAAAAACAAACCTATTAACTAATTAAGATTCCTTTTTATTGTCTAGTATATTATAGATTAGTCAGCCAAAACAATTCTCAGAGAAACTTTTTTTTTTTTTTTTTTTTTTTAAAACAGAGACTTATTTTAAAAGAACATAAGAACAAATACAACTATACTTACCAGTTCAGGGATGTCTTTAACTTTTAGAGGAACCTGAATTAGACCCAGGTGATTTCTGAAACTAGGCTGATCCCCATTTTCATAATTTGGGTTGCGAAGATTCATCAGTACCTTTTAAAAAAAGAATACAATCTGTTATTCCCTGTGTATATACCTAAACTTACAACATGAGATTGTGGCCCAACAGTATCAGTGTCACAAATTGTGCTTAGACACAAACATAGTGCTATTTCCTGCAGCATTGCAACTCCCAGGTGAAGGCCTAAATTTTTGGGCAGCCAACTTCAAAATCCATAAAGGGGTCTGATTTTGAGAAAGTGCTTAACTCCCACTCTGAAAATCAAAATTGAGGCACTGAAAAATCACACTATGTCCTAATTAACACTAGTTTCCCTATCAAACAGTACCTGAAAGCTAATAGTACCTTCCTCAATGGCTCTAGGATACTGATCTGCATTTTTTTTTTAAATGAGCTATTCTATTAATGTTCTGATACCTAGTGCCTTATGTATTCTGCAATTCCACTGCTAAACAATTTGCCACAGAATTCACCTCTTGCCACAGAATTGTGGCCCAGAATCTCAACTTTCATTTTTTTAAAAGATATTTCTTGTCCTTATGGTGGCGACTCTAACACTAAAAACATAAAACAAGAGCAAACTGATGAGTGCCTTAGTCTACAGGGTCTGAAATCACAGCTTTGACAGCTGTAAACTGCCCTATTCATCTGAGTCAGGATCCCATATATTCTGTGATTCCGTGGCCATGGATTTTGGCATTTTAATGGCCAACAGGCGAGGAGTCTTTGTACTTTCCCAGCTTAGCTCATGGTTCCCTGAAGAGCCATCCCCCACTGCACGGAAGGCACATGAGGCTGAATTTAGCAAAGTGTTGCCCCACTTTTTCCAAAGTGTAGCCAGAGGGCTTTGATAAAAAAAAAGAGCAAACTTTACAAATAAGACACGGTCCCAGGCCTAAGGGCTTGTCTACACCTGCCCTATGGGGGCATGATTTCTAAAGCGCATTAATGTATTGCACATTTACTGGTCCACGTACACATCCACTGGTGCACACTAAGATGTGCTTTAATGTATGTGAGCACCTACAAGATGCAACAGCTAGGTCTATGTGGACAGATTAATGCACAACATGTTAGTGTTCTTTAGAAACTACACCCCCATAGGGCACATTTCCCCACTATGTAGATAGGCCCTAAGGCAGTGGCTCTCAACCTTTCCAGACTACTGTACCCCTTTCAGGAGACTGATTTGTCTTGTGTACCCCCAAGTTTCATTTCACTTAAAAACTACTTGCTTACAAAATCAGACATAAAAATACAAAAGTATCACAGCACACTATTACTGACAAATTGCTTACTTTCTCATTTTGTCTGTATGACATTTTAGTTTGAATGGACTTTGCTAGTGCTTTTTATGTAGCCTGTTATAAAATTAGGCAAATATCTAGATGAGCTGATGTACCCCCTGGAAGACCTCTGTGTACCCCCAGGGGTATACATACTCCTGGTTGAGAACCACTGCTATAAGGAAATGCCTCCTTAAAATCCTAAATCTGCAACCCTCACTCATCTGATTAATCCAAATTCATGTGACTAGTCCCTCTTGACTTCTATGGGACTACTCTCAGGATCAGGCCCTACATTGATACAGTAACATGAGAAATGACAGACTATGGGACACAAGGGGAAAAGGAAAGAACAGAAAACAAGAGGAAAATAAACACTACTTTATGAGTAGTTAAAATAAGGTCAAAATACAAGTCAGATATAATTAGATTGAATTACAGATAAGTGTTACATGTATAATTAGCACAACTATGGCATCCAGAAGCCCTTACATTAAATAAATTTATAGTTTGATATTACCAATTGTACAAACATGTTAAATTAATCTCACTTGCATATGTAAATTAGAATACTTCACTTTTAACATTCACAGTTCCAAACCATAACAGTTCATATTTATCCAAGCAAAAGTTACAAATATGCTACATCTCATATCACTGCAAAAGACATTCCTTTAAATGTATATTAAATAATTTTAAATACTAAATTTGCTGATTATGATTCATATTGCTGTGTTTGCCTTTCAAATTTAATTTCTTGCTCCCTACCTACATTATCTAAGGTTCTAGACAAATTTGTTTCATCAACAGCTGACAGAGTATTATACAGTCATTGATTTTTGTATTGTATTTTCATAAGCAATAGCATTCTACATATTGTCATTATTAACAAGTCACCAACGATCTCTATTGTGCAACAGACCCTGGACATAATTTTAATTACGGCCTTCAGTATTATGAATTATGCAAAAAAAAAACCAAGTAAAACTTTGCAATTTTGGCCTTAAGGACTTAGCAGTGCGCTAGTTTTATTTTTCAACTTTTTGTTTTGGTCACAGACAAAAGCCTCAAGTATTTCCAGCTATCAGGAGACTCCCCATCTTTCATCTTTGGTTCTGTATTGCTTTCAGTTTTATAAAAGATTTGAATAATCTTTGTAGATAGTTAAAAATTTCATCTTCACATGACACTGTTATTTACCACAGTGAACCTACTTCAAGTAATAGGACACCAATCTGCAATTGAAAATTAATAATGAAGCAATGTAACTGTTCGTGTTAATAAAGCGAGCGGGAGTTAGTCCACAGGATTCGTCCTCTAACATTTCAGAGAATTTGAGGCTTTCCATTATAGGCACAATAAAAAGGAAAATTTTTAAAAGGATGAACCAGCAATCTCTCCTCCACAATAAGTGCAATTCAGCATGATTCCCCATCCATGCATCCATAAGGCTAGGTTGTCAAAGCAACAGACACTCTGTTCACATTCGAAAGGCCACTTTACAATAGAAAAATGTTAGAAATTTATTTATTTTAATACAAGCTTAAATTCTCAGGCAAAGAGCACTAAAGTAATAAACACCCTATTTCAGGGATCTGATGTGCATGACTTCCTATTGCCTCAAAGTCCTGATTAGTAAGCCAAGTTAAACATTTTGAGCTGACATTTTTCGACACAAGAAGCTCCTTTGCTTAACAGGCATTGAAAAAGTTTCAAGTTTTAAGAAAGTTTTCAATGACCAATATGAGGGTAAATGAAATTCACTGGCAGTTAAAAGTTAATCTTATCAGCCCATTAGATCTGATAATTTCTTATAGATTTAGAAAAAGATATAAATGTACCATCAATTCTTTAGAGCAGCTTTGTAACTGATTATTTAATGGACAATGATTTGTGTGTTGATTCAGTTTACCTTATTTAGAAGAAAATTAATGTCTATTTCCTATCCATCTGTTGAAGACTTACCATGCACAGGTCCCACTTTAAATAGCTAACTATAAAGGATGTAACTCAATGACTGGTTGGTTATTTCATTAATGCTTACCTCAAGAAAATCTTTAGGTGCATAAACAGGTCGGAAGAGACTTAGATCTGAAATTAACAAGATTTAAAGAATGCTTTATTTAAATTAAAATTTTATAAAGGTTGGCAATACGTATGAAGTTTTTTCCAATTCTGACACAATGTAACTATCCCTATAATACATCATGACAATGAGATTTTATGAACAGTTATATTTAAAAAGTTCATATCAGTATATAAAAGAATCACTAATTGATGCCATGCACAGCAACCATAATCAGGTATTTCATAAAACTGCTATTTAATTATCACTGAATTACAAAAAGACAAATTGGTGCAATATAAAACACATCCCTGTTATTCAGCCAACTCCACAAAAAAATTAAAGCACAAAGGATATACTTGGAATGTTCTTAAATTATAGAAGTTTAAACAGCTTCAAAGCCAATGTGAAGTAAAAATACATCATCACTTTATTTTTTTTCTCTCCCCAGCAGTACATCTATACATTAACGTGTCATGAAACTGCAGTTCAGACCATGAAAATTTTCAAGTCATTATCCAGTTTTATTCACATTGCAAGACAATACATGTATTTGGGGTTTGCTAGCTTGCTTCAAGCCCTGGTTGATCTGAACAGGATCATTAGCTATGAAACTGTACAGAATGTAATTCCTATATATTGATTAGCTGTTTCACTTTTAGCTGTTGAAAAAATACATTATGTGAGTAAGAGAAAATTGTTAAGAATTAAATAACACAAAAAGTAAACAATATGATGTTTTTCTTTCAATTAGAGCACTGCTCCCATTACTACTACTAATTTAAGCTACCTGTCCAAATTCTCTAGGTATTGGTATGTAAGAGAATATATCTACAGACTGCAGGTGTAGATTCAAAAATCCAAACAATAACTCTTCAAATAAATAAATAATACAGTGAATAGGTATTTGTGAGCTACCAAGCACTGCAAACTAGGGAAAAAATAAAAAACAGGAACTAGTTGCCTTTACAATGGATACTACTTTAATCCCTGACTGATAAATAAGGAGATAAATATGCATTTGCTTTGCTGCTACATAAAAAGACACATTTTATTTAGCATACCTGGCTCATCAGTTCCCATTTCATTCCATTTATTAAGAAGTTCTTTTTGCTCTCCTATAGGTCTCTGTAAGTCATAAGAAAAGAAATGGTCTTTTTTAATTAACCAGCTAAAAATCTAAAATACACCCATCTTTTAAAAAAATAGCATGCAATAGACTTTATAAGTTAGCATTAGTCTTAGGCCATATTCTCTCTACTGCACCAAATCCAAGTAAGGACTGGAATCCCCCTCCTCATGCCATGGGGTAGTTCTGACACACTGTATCTGCTATTGAACCCTTTGCTATGTTTGGCTGGCAGTTCCATGTATCTGAGGATTCACCCTGCACCACCCATGTGCTGCCACCAAATTCCCTCTTCACGGTGCCAGAAGCCCTGAAGAGTATAGCTCAGTTGCACAAAAGGGGTGTAGATTCCTCTGCATTTCTTTCTCTGTTCCTCCCCACAGCTTTGTCCTCTGTCTTGTACAATAAACCACAGCAGTTCTGCCAGCTACCAGGCTTTAGGGGAGGGGGAGAGGGACAGGGAAGATTTGCCCTATAATACACACTTGCCAATTCTGCTCCGTTTATTAATTTACAGAGATTTGAAACATAAAGATGTCAGTGAGGAATGGATGACAAAGGGAAGTGATGATAGTGGAATACTGAGCCTTTCACTCCAAGGTCACAAGTTCAACTCTAGCCCCAATCAGCAAAGAAAGAATGTCAATGTAATTATTGGTTGTTCAGTGTCCGATGTGAAGTTAGTCAGTGGTCTCAATCCAATCTGTGTGTACTACTGTCCACATCATACAAAAAAAAAAAACCAAAAAAACAAAAAACAAAAACCATCAATTGGCTCCCCAGTACAGTATTCCCAGCAGAGGCCAATGATTGCAACAGCAAGAGAAAGACTTACCAACACCCTTCATTCCCAAAGTGGTCCTTCCAGAGTACAATGGAGGCACACTGGTGGGGATACTCTCACACTACTATCTCTGCTATCTGTTTGTTCCAGAAGACTTTAGGCCCTAATCCTGCAATTCCTGACATCAATGGAACTACTTATGTATAAAGTTTGCATAAGATAAGTTTTTGCTATATCAGGACCACAGTTTCCAAAGATGTGAAGGTGGCACAAGCTCTACAAATTCACTTTAAAAAGTTAAGTTAATAAACACAGTACCTTTTGTGCTAATGGGATACTGAGTTCTGTGCACATGCTATTTAGACTCTTCAGAATTCGCTTCTCCCAGCTTCCCTGTAACACAAACATTTTGATCAAGGTAAAACTTCCTTCCTCCCACCCATATTTATATTTATAAGCATACCACAGCCTAGTCAATGAATAACTTTAAAAGAAAAGATGAGTAGTGTCACTGATATCTGCCAAAAGTTTACATGATTACTTAAAAATGTGAACAAAGGAATGATTTGTTCATTATACAATGAAAAACTTCTTTATATGAAAAAATAACAAAGAACCAGCAAAATAAGGTTGCTCACCATACTGTATGTTCTCCAAAATGCCTCTGCTTTACAGGTACTCATTCTTGGAAGGAAGGCTAGTGCCCAAGCTACCTTTCACATTGGTAGCCATGAATTTTACATTTTAACCACAATACTGGACAAGCATGCTCAGGGAGGTGAACTGCATAAAAATAATGCCCCATCCACCCTTTAAGACATGGAGAGAAAGTAAGTAAATATCTTCTCTAAAGATATTGCACTAGCCATTTTTAGAGAGACTAAAAAGTTCCAGGGATTTGGAATTATTATAAGGCATAGATTGGTTTGGCAGATTTTTTTTTTATTTTTTTAAAATATAATTTCAGCAGATTATATTGATGTTTATTCTTAAGCATTTTTAAAGATTTTTTATCTATTTAAATTTTCACAATTGTGGGAAATTATCTGGGGGTCAGACAATAATTCCTTAATGACAGTAGATGCTGAGATTCAAAAAGTTAAAACTTTATAACTGTTAAAATACAAATTGTCAACATCATATACCAAAATATACAAAATAAACAGCCTTAAATCAAACTCTAACAAGTTCTCTAGCAGCATTGTTCTTACTTTGCCCATCAGTAAATTTCGATTACACTGGTCTACAATTTTTGAGAAGTCGTCTGCTTCAGAGATAAAATGTGCTATTTATTATGTATTTTGATGTTTTAATTGTCATATTTGAATTCAGCACAACTGATTGGCTACTGTTTCTAAGATATTTAAGTTTTTACATTTTATGTCTATGTATATTGTGTAGATAGTAGAGTTTTAATCATAAATTGTAAACCTAGGTCTTTTCATGTGTTTATGGTTGCTTTACATGATAATATTTCACCTGTCCTGTTTATGTAACACTTTAAAAATCAGCAAAAGGGTTATATAACTACAATTTATTATGAAACAAAAGGCAAAAAACTATTCTGTACATAGTTTAGTCCTATTCAGTGTCTACTCGGCGCTTCTTGGCTTGTCTCTTGTATTCATTAAATGGAGCATCTCTTGTCACTGTCCAGCAATAGTCTGCAAGCATTGATGGGCTCCATTTGCCCTGATAGCGTTTCTCCATTGTTGCAATGTCCTGATGAAATCGCTCGCCGTGCTCGTCGCTCACTGCTCCGCAGTTCGGTGGAAAAAAATCTAGATGAGAGTGCAAAAAATGTATCTTTAGTGACATGTTGCAACCAAGGCTTTTGTATGCCTTGAGGAGGTTTTCCACCAACAACCTGTAGTTGTCTGCCTTGTTGTTTCCGAGAAAATTTATTGCCACTAACTGGAAGGCTTTCCATGCCGTCTTTTCCTTGCCACGCAGTGCATGGTCAAATGCATCATCTTGAAGAAGTTCACAAATCTGAGGACCAACAAAGACACCTTCCTTTATCTTAGCTTCACTTAACCTTGGAAATTTTCCACGGAGGTACTTGAAAGCTGCTTGTGTTTTGTCAATGGCCTTGACAAAGTTCTTCATCAGACCCAGCTTGATGTGTAAGGGTGGTAACAAAATCTTCCTTGATTCAACAAGTGGTGGATGCTGAATGCTTTTCCTCCCAGGCTCCAATGACTGTCAGAGTGGCCAATCTTTCTTGATGTAGTGGGAATCTCTTGCACGACTAGCCCATTCGCAGAGAAAACAGCAGTACTTTGTGTATCCAGTCTGCAGACCAAGCAAGAGAGCAACAACCTTCAAATCGCCACAGAGCTGCCACTGATGTTGGTCATAGTTTATGCACCTCAAAAGTTGTTTCATGATGTCATAGGTTTCCTTCATATGGACTGCATGACCAACTGGAATTGATGGCAAAACATTGTCATTATGCAGTAAAACAGCTTTAAGACTCGTCTTCGATGAATCAATGAACAGTCTCCACTCATCTGGATCGTGAACGATGTTGAGGGCTGCCATCACACCATCGATGTTGTTGCAGGCTACAAGATCACCTTCCATGAAGAAGAATGGGACAAGATCCTTCTGACGGTCACGGAACATGGAAACCCTAACATCACCTGCCAGGAGATTCCACTGCTATAGTCTGGAGCCCAACAGCTCTGCCTTACTCTTGGGTAGTTCCAAATCCCTGACAAGGTCATTCAGTTCACCTTGTGTTATGAGGTGTGGTTCAGAGGA